CCCCCGTTGGCAATGGCTGCGGCCGACATCATTTTCGCGGCCACGGAGGAAACTGCGATCCCGGTCGCGGTGAAGCCCGCAGTGGTCAGCGCGAAAGGCACAGCGCACACTGCCAGAGCTGCGGGGAGAGGAAGGGTGGTCGGTGCGGGCCGGGGAGGAAATCGGACTCCCCGATAGTTCTGGGGGCTGCGCTCTGAGCTTGGTGCGGGGTCCCAGGCAAAAGTGGAAAGCGGGCAAGGAGCCAGGTGGGGACGACTGGGCACGGACAGCCTGGTTTGTCCCCTGCCTGCGGTGCGATGTCCCTAGCCTTCTCCGCGTCTCGAGATGCTACGGTGCAATGACGCAGGTCGGACAGTTTGGACCATCCCCTGCACCCCGGGACGCGTCCCCGTATCCCCCGGCAGCTCAGGGCGAGGCTGGGCAGCTCTGGGACTCCAGGCAGCGGGTCAGAAGACGCACCTCCTCCAATGGCGGCTCCCAGCAGGGCTGCGGAGAGAAGAACAGGGAGAGGAGCCCTGAGCGGGAGAGAGGGGTGCGGGTACCCCGCAGCCCCGCCCGGGAAGGGGACTCACTAGTCATGGCGGAGGCTCCGGCGCGCAGCTCTAGGATGCAGCCCTGCCGGGTAGTGGTTGCAGTCTTCTCCCCAGCCCTAGGGACAGCGTGGCCCTAGCCCCTCGCAACGCTCCGCCCCTGCGCTCCGAGCGCACGAGCCTGGGCGGGGCCTCTCCCTGTTTGATGGCTCAAGTGTGTTGTTTGGTGAAAGTATTTGTCTAGTATGGAGGAGGCCTTAGTTTCTACCCCTAGCTCCCCCAAAAGAAATATATAAGCAACACCCCCAAAAAACTTCCTTGCTTGATTAGTCAGTCTTTCAAGATTGTGACTTATCTTAATTTACATTTCATTTTATTACTAGTGAGGCTAAACTATTATTTATTAGATGGATTTTTTTGGTGGGGGGCAACTCAGGATGCCTTAAGTGCTGGTCTGGTAAGGCATGAGGTTCTGGGGATCAAACCACAGAATTGTGAGCCTGACTGCTTTGCTTAAGCAGGCATCTAAACAGCTGAGCTAATGGGCAGGCCCCCATTATTATTTATTAGATATATACAGTCCACTTTTGTGAATTGTCTTCTCATATACTTGGGCTTTTTTCTAAGGGGCTTTTTCCCCCCTGTATTTTAGGGAAGGGTCTACAGGGTGTTCAGAGTCTCACTACTAGTTTGGGCTTGTGATTCTCCTGTTTACAGCCTTCCAAGTGCTGGGATTACAGGCGTGTGCCACCACACTCAATCTCAATCGTTCTCTCAGCGCACCCTGGGGGTGTGGCCAGCACAGCAGGCCTGGGGATCAAACCCCCGGCCCTTGCGCCTTCTTGCAGGCGCTTTAATCCACTGAGCTACTTGGCCGGTCCTTTTTTTGTTACTAATATACAGGAATTAAGTCATTTAGCAACTGTCTTAGTCCATTCTTACAGGCATTGAAAATTTTTGTTTCCATTTTGTTATTATTATGTTTTTCTCTTTGTAACTGTTGCTTTGTTTTAATGATTTTTTAAACAGAGAAAAGCTTTTGTATCCTTGCAAATTTATCATTATTTTACATGTTCATTTTTGTTTTTGTGTACCTAAAAATGTTTTCTGCCCAGGTGGTGGTGGTGCACACCTATAGTCCCAGCACTTGGGAGACTGAGGCAGAAGGATCAACACAAGTTCGAGGTCAACATGGGCTACATAGTGAGACCCTATCTCAAAAAAAAAAAAAAAAATTTGCACTCACTAGCTATCAGATATATCATCCTTTGGTTTGTTCTGGAGTTTCAAATTTTCAAATTTAGTTTGGTAAATATAGAGTACATTACATATTTATACCATTTGTTCCAACACTATCTTTTTCATAATGTGTTATTTCATCTTCGATTTGATATTTCATTTTTATATTCAAAACTCATATGCTGTGTGTCCATATATGTACGTTCTAGTATATATCTATGGGTGTGTATAGCATTCCAAAACAGTATATTAGTTTGGGAAGTTTTATGTTCCAAAAAGCTATCTCTTCTTACTGGAGGTCCCTGCAGTGAGCCCAAATCTCCCACCTTGTGGAAAAGAAAGAGGAGGAGACAAAATGCAGGAGAGAAATGCAGGAGGGCCCAGGAAGAGCAGGTATTCACAGGACAGAACCTCAGCCTTTATTGGCTGAGAAGGGCATCGTCAGATGACTCAGGGGCCGCAATGATCTTAAGCTAATGAGGATCTTTCCCCGTAGCATCTTTAGTCTTAGCTGTTTTAGTTTCAGTCTTACTATGTGGGAGAGGATGGTCCATCCCAATGGGATAATGGGAAATCTCACAAGGGTGATCCCCACAATCCCAAGCTTCTGTTCACCCCTTAGGGAAGTATGTAAAACTAATCATTGTGAATTTGTGCTCCCTGACATCTTTTAGTAACAAAATCATAGTGTTTTAATGCTTATGAATTTAGCATTTGATTTAAAAATCTGACTGTAGTTAGCAGTATGATTGCTAATCCATGGCTACACTTTTTGTGTGAAATTTAGAAATACTTTTTAGGCCCTGTACTATTCTGAAATGAAATCCATAGATAATATATTGGAGTTGTACACAATGTATGGTAGGAAATTATTTTTATTTATTTATTTTTTTTGGCAGAACTGGGGATCGAACTCAGGCCCTTGGGCTTGCCAGGGAAGCATTTATTCCACCGAGTCATCTCCCCAACCCCAGGAAATTATTTTTAATACCATAGTATCTTTGATATATGTTAAATATTGTATTTATTTGTATATGCTCATACACTTACATCAGATGATAAAATGAATCCATTTTTTTTTTTTTACCTCTGTATGAGTTTGGGTTTAAGACAATACATTCAACTGAAAATTCTTCATACTTTAATAAAAATAAATGTTTTGAAATAGAGCTTAAAGAAATATATCTAGGGGCTGGGGAGTCATCTCAGCAGAATAAGCGCTTCCTTGGCAAGCGCAAGGGTCTGAGTTCAATCCCCGGTTCCGCCAACAGAAAAAAAAAAAAAAAAAGAAAGAAAGAGAAATATATCTATATTTTCATATATCTGTCGAGTCATCATGAATGTGAAGTTGCAAATACAGCCTGATTGAAGTTCCAAAAAGGACACTGCTGTTGGAGACATGATTTTCTGAAATGGAGGATAACTTAATGACCTTCAGGACAAAGTAAAGTGCAGCATCTTACTGATAGGCAGCGTGACTGCATCCCTGGAAAATTCAGTCTATGTGACAACCATACTGTTACGGCTTATGTCTAGATGCCCTCCCAAAGCCTCATGCCATCATAATGGGGCTTTTGCAAGTTGACTGGATTATGGGGGCTTATCGCTGACTTAGCCTTAGGAGGTGGGGTCCAGCTGGGAGAGGTAGTCACTGGGGGCCTGACCTGGAAGGGTTTATCTCACTTCTTGGCTCCTACTTGACTCTCTTGCTTCTCCAGCAGGTTTCTCCTCCGCTGTGTCACTCTGCCATGCTGTCCTGTCTTGTAGCCAATGGTACGGGCCGGAACCATGAGCAAAACCACACCATCCAATTCCCCTGAGAGGGCAGTACTGTCCCCATGAAAGACCATTGCTCTAACAAGTAACTTCAAAAAAAAAAAAATCTAGAATTGTTTATAATTATATTCAGAGAAAAGTAGGCAAATAAAAGCAATGATAATAACACATTTGGCATTAATTTTAAGAATTTGAATACATTGAGTAACTTGCTCATAGGAACTTGTTATATGTGACAAATTGTAGAGTTGTGATTCCAGTTTTATTTTTATCTTTTTTTTTTTTAAATGTATTTGGTTGTTCCAGGGTCTCACTATACAGCTCAGACTCGCAGTCATTCTCCTGGTTTCATCCTCCCCAGTGCTGGGATTACAAATGCGCACCGCCACGCCCAGTCTCAGTCACCCTCTCAGTGGGCCCCAGGGTCAGGACCGGCACAGCACGGGGATCAAAACCCAGTCCCTGCGCCTTCCTAAGTAGGCACTTTGGTCCGCTGAGCTATCTGGCTGGCCCCATAAAAGCTGTTCTGAAGAGCACCCCACAACTCTAATGTGTACTAGCTGCCTCCTAAGGTGCACCTCAACCGTGACAACTGGGCTTTCTTTTGTTTCCTGTGATGTGTAAATTAAGGCCATAAGCTTAAACCAAACTCAAACAAGCACTTAATCATAAAAGAAAATATTACTTAAATACAATAAAATTAAAGACCTTTATTAAACAAAACATTATAAAAGAATGAAAAATCAATACAGAGAGGGAGAAACCATTCACCATATGTTTAACCAACACAGGACTGAGATTTAGACATATGAATTACCTTTGCAAATCTATGAAAGCCAAACATCTAATACAAACTCATGCAAGACATTTAAAGGAAATTGCAAAAGAAAGCTATTCAAATGACTAATGCAAGACAATTCTAATGAAAATGTGAAAAACTGCATGATCTCTTTACAAGTCAGGGAAATATAAATTATATCCACAGTACAAGGAGTTCTGGTTCTGGTTAAGAGGTGGAAAGTTGATGAGGACCTTTTCTACTGTTGAAAAACAAGAAATCACCAGATAAACAATACACACATAAGGGCTTGGGAGATAGCTCAGTAGAATTAGCACTTGCCTGGCAAGTGCAGAGTCCTGAGTTTAATCCCTGGTATCGCGAAACAAACAAAAAACCAAAAAATGATACACATATAAAGCAGCTATTGACTAATATTCTGTAATGGACCACAGGGAAAATATTTTAGGTTTACTGGGCACATATAGCCTCTGATACATATTGGTTTTTTTTTTTTGTTTTTTTTT